CATTCTCGTCTTTTGCCCCTGGAGCTTTCTATTCTCTGTCTCTCGAGGAAGAAAAACCGAGCGAGAAGAGGCCTCTGATCCTCTTATCTTTCCTGTTACTTTTACGGTTGTTCCAGTCGTACCAACCAACGATGATTGGCAGACTTGCTTGCGAGCTTTTGAGCTTTGTATGCTTAACTTTAGTTCTCTTAGAAGTTTTATGATGAAACTTTAGGGATTCTGTTTCAAACGTGCAGTAAATGTTAATTAAAATTGATTGCAGTTAAATTAGGATGAAATCCATTCTTAGTAGATTCCATCGGAGATGGTTTTATGGATTCAGGATCATTTTGAGGAGAAATTACTTGTAGAGTTTAAGAAGGGATGCTTCCATTAATATCTTGCCGCTTTCAGCAAACTCGATGATCGACTATTAGTTACTAAAAGTTCTCTCTTTTCTTGTTTCTTTACATGGTAGGAGGAGACCAAGGATGAGCCGATTGCCGAGGAATCAAGAGAGGAGTGCAGCTTTTCGTGTAGCGTACATAATTCCCGCTCGACTACTCCTGCATCCAGGTCCTTCGCCGTCTTCCAAACCTTAAGATCCGTTCACAACGAACAATCTCAATTTCCCTATGTTTCTTTCCCCCAAGGAAACTTGGAACTTCGAGATTTACAATTCAAATCCATGGTGAATTTATCTTTAAATGAGATCCAAGGTAAAATTAATATTATTCGCTGTCGTATACATGGGTATTAAACCTAAATAATATCTTTAAAATCGATTACTCAAGCACTCTATATTCTTAAGTATAACGTAACCAGCTGGTCCGGAATATTTTTTAATCTACGGCACATATTTCAGGTCCAGGTTGTAAAACGTAATCAGTCAGTTGGAAACGATGCCTAACATCCCTTAGGGCCGCGTGAGGAGATGGCAGAGGCCATTCAACTGTCTACGAGGCAGCAGGCAGGGGATTTTTACAACGCCCGGACTCTCTACCTACTCTCCTATATTCTTCTTGCTCTTCTTTCCTCTCTCCATCTTCCTCGTCCTCTTCTTCGTCTTGTTTCTTGTAGGATAGCCCCGGCCCTCTTTTTCTATGCTCTCCTGATCTCTCTACCCGGCAATGGCGCAGTAAACCGGGGGGCTACGCGTGAGAAGTTTGATTCTAAAACTCGAATTATATCAAATCTCACATAAAAAATAATGCCTCTAAATAACAACTGTAGAATATGCTTGTCGATCGATAGATTTATTAATGTTCAACGAGTTCGACAATTATTGATATTCCTTTACACTTGACGAAAATCATGATTAAGTCCTTAAGGAAGCAGCGATTTCAGCTGTTAATTCGTCAACTTAAATGAATCTCTTAATTTCGTTAACGTGTTGTTCTTATTATTCTACTTGGCAAACTATGCTTATAAAAGAAAAATCGAAGAAACAAGAATATAGTATTTTTATTTGTTATGATCAAATGCTATTTTGTTAATTTCCAGATGCAGTTGCAGTATTCCTCCACGGACAGTAGAAAGCAGTGAAAGGAAGCTGGGAGCACATGGCGGAACGATCCAGTGATAGCCGTTATCAGCTATACTTGATGATACTAACCCGTAGATCCGAACTTGTGGGCTTTTTTATATGTATACCGCAAGCTCCTATCTACCGGTACATGTAGTCAGGCCAGCATTTAAGCTTTTCGACGGAACCTCCTCCTTCTCCTTCACACACCCCTCTGCCCTCCTGAAAGCCCGCAGCACTTCCGGTTATCAACGCGTGCATTTTTTGCCAAGTAATTTTCTCGATTGTATGAAAAGAAGTGAAAAAGGACGAGTATGACGAATGAAAGCAGGGATGAAAAGAGCAGTATCTACCGTTCTGTCACTTCCGGTTTACTGACCAATTAATTACGAATAGTAATGTAACGATCGAAGCGTCGTAAGTCTTGAAACACAAAACATGAATGTACTTACTTTGATCAAAGCTAACTTCGTCAAACCTGTGTTCTGAGATTAGTTAGAATATGCAATTTGTTGAGGCATTTCTTGATTATTAGTACGTTACATAATTATTTCTTAATAAACATCGATATTATTATGCTTTATTATATTATATACTACTATATTACTATACGATATATTATACATTAATATCCACGAAGGGATCGATTACGAAGAGGACAGCCATATCAGCGACGACGCCTGGGTGAGGTAGTAGGTTGTATAGTAGGGAATGGAAATTCGCGATATACGAAGTCCACTGTACAACTTGCTAACTTTCCCGGTCGTCGACGCCGCAACGTTTCATCATCCAGCGACATCTTCAAGAAGACACTAGCCGTATCGTTACTGAAAAGAAAATCACGAACTTTATATTGAAGCGTGCATATGTTGGTAACCGCGTGTGTGCTGAGTGCAAATAGTTTTGTTAAAGAAGAACGAAGAAGATCTATCACCATAAGCGATGCAGTAATACCCATAGACATTATTCTAAGTTACTACATATATACATTTTCTAGTAGCTGTAACATAACTATAAGACAAGGAGATTATAAAGAAAACCATATAGAAGGTGGTGGCTTCTCTTAGATGATGAAAACGTGAATGCGTGGATATGTGTACGATTAATAACGAATAAAAGAGGGAGAAAAGATGAAATGAGAAAAAGGGCAATGGCGGGCGGGCTGATTGTAAAGCCTGCCGC